ATGGGGCTCAGAGATGGTAAATCGTGCCTCACAGGGTTATAGAATTCTATGACCAGGCAACTAAAATTAGGCGAGAAAGAGAAGGGTGGGCAGACTGCATTTTCTTGGACTGTCAGAAAGCTTTTGACACAGTACCACATAAAAGGCTGTTACGAAAGTTGGAGCAACAGGCAGGAGTAAAAGGTAAGGTGCTCCAGTGGATAAGGGAGTATCTAAGCAACAGGAAACAGTGAGTAGCTGTGAGGGGGGGGGGGTTAGGGGGAGGCATCAGAGTGGCGAGATGTCACCAGTGGAGTCCCACAAGGCTCTGTACTTGGACCCATCCTGTTTCTAATATATGTAAACGATCTTCCGGAGGGTATAGACTCATTCCTCTCAATGTTTGCTGATGATGCAAAAATTATGAGAAGAATCAAAACAGATGAAGATAGACAGAGACTACAGGACGACCTGGACAAACTGGAGGAATGGTCTAGAAAATGGCTGCTAAAGTTTAACTCAGGAAAGTGTAAAGTAATGAAATTAAGTGAAGGGAGCAGAAGGCTGAACACAAGGTACCATCTGGGAGGTGAAATCCTGCAAGAGTCAAATAGAGAGAAAGATCTGGGGGTCGATATCACACCGAACCTGTCCCCAGAGGCCCACATCAAAAGGATATCATCAGCGGCATATGCTAGACTGGCCAACATTAGAACTGTCTTTGGAGACTTATGTAAGGAATCGTTCAGGACCCTGTATACCACTTATGTGAGACCAATCCTGGAATATGCAGCTCCAGCCTGGAGTCCATACCTAGTTAAACACAAAACAAAGTTAGAGAAGATTCAGCGGTATTCCACCAGACTCATTCTGAAACTGAAAGGTATGAGCTACGAGGAAAGGCTAAAGGAGCTGAACCTCACATCCCTGGAAAACAGAAGAGTAAGGGGAGACATGATAACCACCTACAAAATTCTCAGGGGAATTGACAGGGTGGACAAAGACAAACTCTTCAGCACGGGTGGGACACGAACAAGGGGACACAGGTGGAAACTTAGTACCTAGATGAGCCACAGAGATGTTTGAAAGAATTTTTTCAGTGTCAGAGTAGTTAATAAATGGAATTCGTTAGACAGAGATGTGGTGGAGGCTGACTCCATACACAGTTTCAAGTGGAGATATGATAGAGCCCAGTAGGCTCAGGAACCTGTACATTAATTATTTGACAGTTGAGAGGCGGGACCAAAGAGCCAGAGCTCAACCCCCGCAAGCACAACTAGGAGAGTACAGGCAGGACCACTGAGGAAGGAAGACCGCCTCGCAGGACTCACACACATCCACGGTGAACTATGCAGGTAATTTTTTGTGGTATTTTTTAGTCAGACAACGGGCTATTACCCGAGCGTGGCCGGATACCGGGGAGTGGTCACCCCTGAGACAACTGTCCCCAGGGCGGGAGTCCCCAGGGGCAGGAGTCCCCAGGGCGGGAGTCCCCAGGGGCAGGAGTCCCCAGGGCGGGAGTCCCCAGGGGCAGGAGTCCCCAGGGGCGGGAGTTCCCAGGGGCGGGAGTCCCCAGGGGCAGGAGTCCCCAGGGCGGGAGTCCCCAGGGGCAGGAGTCCCCAGGGCGGGAGTCCCCAGGGGCAGGAGTCCCCAGGGCGGGAGTCCCCAGGGGCAGGAGTCCCCAGGGCGGGAGTCCCCAGGGGCAGGAGTCCCCTAGGGCGGGAGTCCTCAGGGGCGGGAGTTCCCCAGGGGCAGGAGTCCCCAGGGGCAGGAGTCCCCAGGGCGGGAGTCCCCAGGGGCAGGAGTCCCCAGGGCGGGAGTCCCCAGGGGCAGGAGTCCCCAAGGCGGGAGTCCCCAGGGGCAGGAGTCCCCAGGGGCGGGAGTACCCAGGGGCGGGAGTCCCCAGGGGCAGGAGTCCCCAGGGCGGGAGTCCCCAGGGGCAGGAGTCCCCAGGGCGGGAGTCCCCAGGGGCAGGAGTCCCCGGGGCGGGAGTCCCCAGGGGCAGGAGTCCCCAGGGCGGGAGTCCCCAGGGGCAGGAGTCCCCAGGGGCGGGAGTCCCCAGGGGCGGGAGTCCCCAGGGGCGGGAGTCCCCAGGGCGGGAGTCCCCAGGGGCGGGAGTCCCCAGGGCGGGAGTCCCCAGGGGCAGGAGTCCCCAGGGCGGGAGTCCCCAGGGGCCGGAGTCCCCAGGGCGGGCGTCCCCAGGGGCAGGAGTCCCCCAGGGGCGGGAGTTCCCAGGGGCGGGAGTCCCCAGGGGCAGGAGTCCCCAGGGCGGGAGTCCCCCGGGGCGGGAGTCCCCAGGGGCGGGAGTTCCCAGGGGCGGGAGTCCCCAGGGGCAGGAGTCCCCAGGGCGGGAGTCCCCCAGGGGCAGGAGTCCCCAGGGGCAGGAGTCCCCAGGGGCAGGAGTCCCCAGGGGCAGGAGTCCCCAGGGGCAGGAGTCCCCAGGGCGGGAGTCCCCCAAGGGCGGGATCACCACACTCTCCCGGGAATATTGACCACCTTAATCTGAGAATATTCATTAGCTTATTTTTCAATAAATATTGATCAGGTGACCAAGTTACCTGCCGCCAGCCAGCAGACAACTTGTCAACAATGCCACCAGAGCTCACCTTACTGGAGAGGAAAGTCTTGACAATGGAGAACTTCCCGTCATACAATAAGGATGAATTTTAAAATTACAAAACCTAGAACCTGTGTGAGTAATGTTGGTGCCTGGGCCGTGTTGCAAGCCTCGCTGAGTGGTGCTGCAGCTTGGCCACCACTTGTAACTTGCTCGGTGTGACGTTCCCCAAGCTTTTCCACCTCAGTTGATTACTTTTAAGACAGGTGAGGTATTAAGCCTGTTATTTGCCATTTGGCAGAGTTGTTTATTCTGGCAGCTTAAGTGTTGCTTTAATCTCCGCTGGTTGTTAGCAAGAACCGCTAATACACGCTTCCACCCTGGACTTACCTACCTTACCTATAAGTATTTACCTATCAGTGACTGATAGGTCTAGTGATAGTGAGGTCTAGCCCTTTATGCCCCGCCTACTGGCTTTCTATATGTTGACCTGCTGCCTTACAACCTAACTACTCTGCCTGTGAAATTAACCGTCGAATCTGGCCTTAAAGTTGTGGATGGAGGTGGCTTCCACAACCTCCTCCTGTTGAGGATTCCACATGTTAACTGCCCGTACAGTGTCCGAGTACTTCCTTGCGTGCCACCACGCTCACCTGTGTCTCCAGCTTCCACCTGTGTCCTCTCTACCCGGAGAGGCAATACTTGTCCACTTTATCTATCCCCGTCAGTATCTTGTAAATTGTGACCATATCCCCTCTGTCTGCCTCATCCTATGCCGTGTTTGTGGCCTTTTCTGGTCTCCTTGTATCTCTCATTCGCTTTTCTCTAATTATCTTTGCTGTCTCCCTCTCCTCCTTAGACATGTCCTGTGCTCGGTCGTTCCGCCATAACCGGTAATACGAACCTGTATTTTTAAATTTCGATTTCCGAGACGAACTTTTGTGCAGGTTGGCCAGAAGGTTGGCGGTGGACAGTTAGACTCGAGGCAAGAGAGTTGAAGGCCGCCAAATATGGCTAAGACAACATTGTTCTAGAGATAAGAGGTCTTACGCAGGAGAAAAACTTCAAACATCACGTTTATAAGAGACGTGTCAACGGTCGATATGTCGTACGTCAGGAAAGTTGTCGTACAGCCTCGCTGTATTTACTGTTTTTGTTTTAGCTCTTGGTCTCCGGATTTTTTGCCGTTGGTTGTCTAATGTATTGACTCCCGACCTATTTTACTACACCAGGTGAAAGTAAAACAAATGAAGGCACCATGGAGGAAATCAAGAAACTTTTATACGAAATAAAAAGAAAAAAGAGCTTGTGGAGACATTGTAGGAGGAGGAGATAGAAGGGATGAAGATGGACACAGTAACAATGAAAGAGACAATTACAGAAATAGGAAAATAAGACACAGTATCTGAATTAAAAATGACCACAGAGACACTGAAAACAGAAGAGGAACCAACGTGTTTCAGTGGTGGAGGAGATGAAGTCAGTGAACCTGTGCCGGGATGCGAGTGTCAACCAGCTCAAGGAAAAGGTTGAGGCAGTAGAAGAGGAAGGTAAAAGTATCGAGGCTGCAACTAGAGAAGCGGCAGAGAGGTAAAACGTGCAGGATGTGAATGAACAATAGGGGTCAAGGCCCAGCAAGGACTGTTGCAGAAGTAGCCGAAGGGGCAGAGTCAAGGCAAATAATGAAAGCAACGGTAACAGAAGCTGTCAGGTCAAACCACGTAGTGAACTCCCACAAAGAAGACATGGAAAGGAAGTGATTGTTATTATAAACACTCTGACACAACCAGAGGGAGTTATAAACACTCTGACACAACCAGAGGGTGTTATAAACACTCTGACACAACCAGAGGGAGTTATAAACACTCTGACACAACCAGAGGGAGTTATAAACACTCTGACACAACCAGAGGGAGTTATAAACACCCTGACACAACCAGAGGGAGTTATAAACACTCTGACACAACCAGAGGGAGTTATAAACACTCCGACACAACCAGAGGGAGTTATAAACACTCTGACACAACCAGAGGGAGTTATAAACACCCTGACACAACCAGAGGGAGTTATAAACACTCTGACACAACCAGAGGGAGTTATAAACACTCTGACACAACCAGAGGGAGTTATAAACACTCTGACACAACCAGAGGGAGTTATAAACACTCTGACACAACCAGAGGGAGTTATAAACACTCTGACACAACCAGAGGGAGTTATAAACACCCTGACACAACCAGAGGGAGTTATAAACACTCTGACACAACCAGAGGGGGTTATAAACACTCTGACACAACCAGAGGGCGCCACATGACAGGAGGAAAAGATGACGACTGAGAGGAGTTGAAAGGAATTGAAGACAAAGTGCGGGCAAGGAGGGCATCCCAAGAAATATAAACCTTTTTGCAGGATAGGGAGGTTCCAAGAGGACCAAGAAAGACCAGTGAAGGTTACATTCCTAAAAAGTTATCCAGTGATATATATTGGCAGAGAAGAGAAAATTATGGGATGGTCGAAGATAGAATCGGCCGTTCACCGATCAGGACACGAGCAAAGAAGATATGCTAAGAGAAACGGAGGAAAAGTGCACGGAATGATAAGAGGAACAGGAAATGAAGTGATGGGGGGAGAAGATGTCAGCCCTAAAGGGGAGGAGGAGGAGGACAACTGGGCACTACAAGATGTAAGATTCAAGACAGCAATAGAATTAGTTAGGGGCAAGGGAGGAATCCCGATCATATGTGGCATTCTTCCAAGAAAGGGAGTGGGAAATGAATGGTTGTCGAGGGCACTTGGTGTCAATTGCTGGCTGGAAAGATATTGCAAATCAAATGCAATAGCTTTCATAGACAACTGGGGACACTTCTATGGAAGAAATGAAATGTAAGCTCGTGATGGGGTGCATCTATCGAGAGCTGGGGTTGTTGCTGTTGCGAACTCGTTAGAAGAAGTGGTTAGAGGTGTTTGTTTGGGTTTAAACTGTTAGTAGGTAGTGGTATGGGAATTGATTTGGAGGAAGGAGGTAATAAAAGTATGTGTTTGAGGGAGAAAGGAATTGGCAAAATGATCAGGGAAATTGAAGGGCCTCAAAATAACAATTCACTTAGGGTATATTACACTAGCAGTAGAAGTCTAAGAAATAAAATAAACGAATTAAATGCTCTTGTCTGCACAGAAAAAATAGATATTATCGCGCTTACCGAAACATGGATGAATGTAGAAAATAGAGAACTATTAGCTGAATATCAAATAAATGGATTTAAACTATTTCACACAGATATATATATATATATTAGACGAGGAGGGGGGAGTAGCCATATATGTTAGGGACAATTTGAAATGTAGTCTCAAAGAGGGAATCAAAACTGAGCCACACACAGAAACTATTTGGATAGAATTAAACGAAAAAGCAAATAATATTATAATAGGAGTTATATATAGGCCACCAAATTTAGACAGAATGGAAGCACAGCATCTATGGGATGAAATATCTAGAGCATCTAGATCTAACAGTATTTACGTCATGGGTGACTTAACAATATGCCTTCAGCCGAACAAGTCTATGTGGGTGGGGAAGAGGACAGGTTGACTAGTTTAGCAGTTACCAGGGAGGATGTAATTAAACAAATAGTTAAACTCAAACCAAACAAATCCCCAGGGCCGGATGAACTGTTTGCCAGGGTGCTTAAAGAATGCAAAGAGGAGCTTTGTGAGCCACTGTCTACCATATTTAATAAATCAATAGAGTCAGGTAGAGTGCCAGAGTCATGGAAGGTTGCTAATGTGGTACCAATTTTTAAGAAAGGAGATAGATCACTTGCATCAAACTATCGACCAATTAGCCTAACGTCTATTGTGGGAAAGTTACTTGAATCGATAATTGCAAATAAAATTCGTCTTTATCTTGAAAAACACAAATTAATAAATGAGTCGCAACATGGTTTTACAAATGGCCGTTCATGTTTAACAAATTTGCTATCTTTTTATTCCAGCATAGTTGAGGCAGTTGATAGTGGTAAGGATTGTGATGTTGTGTACCTTGACTTTAGCAAAGCTTTTGATACAGTGCCACATGAAAGACTGATTAAAAAAATAGAGGCTCATGGTATTGGAGGTGCTATATTAAGTTGGATTAGGGCATGGCTATTCCAAAGGAAACAGAGAGTATTAAGTCAGAGTGGGAAAATGTTGTAAGTGGAGTGCCTCAAGGCTCTGTCCTGGGACCTCTGTTGTTTATAATATATATCAATGATTTAAGAACATAAGAACATAAGAACATAAGAACAAAGGTAACTGCAGAAGGCCTATTGGCCCATACGAGGCAGCTCCTATCTATAACCACCCAATCCCAATCCTATATATATATATATATATATATATATATATATATATATATATATATATATATATATATATATATACACATACATATATATATATATATACATATATATACACATACATATATATACACATACACATACATATACATATATATATATACACATATATATATATATATATACACATATATATATATATATATACACACACATACATATACATACATATACATATTCCCCAAATTAGAAATCTTTCATATGAAGAAAGATTAACAAAGCTTAAGTTGCATTCACTGGAAAGGCGAAGAGTTAGGGGTGACATGATAGAGGTTTACAAGTGGATGAATGGACATAACCGGGGGGATATTAATAGGGTATTAAAAGTATCAACACAGGACAGAACACGAAACAATGGATATAAATTGGATAAGTTTAGATTTAGGAAAGACTTGGGTAAATACTGGTTCAGTAACAGGGTTGTTGATTTGTGGAACCAATTGCCGCGTAACATTGTGGAGGTGGGGTCCCTCGATTGTTTCAAGCACGGGTTGGACAAGTATATGAGTGGGATTGGGTGGTTATAGAATAGGAGCTGCCTCGTATGGGCCAATAGGCC